AAATAAAAAATTTCCACCAGTATTTGATTATATCTAATTAAGTGATCAAACGATGAAAATGTTCGGTTTAAAAATTCAGATATCGCATCGGTGAAAATAGGAAGAGGAGGAGGGCAAAAATCCAGCAAAAACGAGTGATAAGGAAGAGATGACTCTTGTTTAGAACTCGTACAAGTTTGATGTATTTCGTTAATTAAAAAGTTGTTTTCTTAAAAATGATCGATCTCGTGCGAGGACATTATAAATTAAATTAAATTAATTGATATTTTATCAATTAGAAACGGGCATACCTCATCCTCGATTCGTAATAAATAATATACAGTTATAAATATGTCGGCCAAAGAAAGAAAATAAACGACCGTCGACCTACATAAATTCAAGAAAGGATTTATGGGGCGAGTCTCTAGCCTTCGAATGTTGGAGATACGAGAGGGAGAAAGCTACACAGCTGGTTCTGCCGTGCCTAGAAAAATGCAATAATAATAGGATTGCTTTTGCTCGAGCGGAAATCTCGCGTGGTAAACCGACGTGACTGCAAATAACGACGAGGTTTGTCGTTGCAAGATGGAGCATAGGTGAAATGATTTTTTACCAGAAGAGGAAAAAATAATTTCTTTAACCAATATATAAATCTAATGAAAATCGTTGAACGCTGTTGCAGTCTCGATTGAAAATTTCTAAAATAAAATTCTATTCCATCGGGTTTGATATATCGATAATTGTTTTCTATAATATAATTATTACATTGATACAAAGATATCGTATATCTGAAATGATATAGGAACGTGTTAATTTGAAGATTTTCCGTTGAAAGACGAAACTTGCCGTAGGGGAAACAGTTGAGTCTGACTGTGTGCAAGTGGCCTAGGTACAAGCGTTTCCAAGCGAAATTAAATAGCTCGTAACTTGAAAAATAAGCTCCAACCGAGGGTTTTGCATATATGAACTTTTTCTCTTGTTTCAACGCCTTTGGAATTGATATTCCAGAGACGTTCCATACACATTTTAATACTTTCTACCTCATTTCTACCGCAACCTCATCCTCATCCACCAATATTTTCGTTACCTTATTTTTCGAACGCGATTAAAATTCTTCCAATAGTCGTTCTCGTTAAAAGGAAACGTTGAACGAAACGTTCGATGGTAACGAAGAAGATTATACGGCGTAATAAAAATGGAAACCTTAATAACGGAGCAAATTGGATGAAAAATAGCACTGGTACAAATTACAACTTCCAGAGCCGCGATTACACGATGACAGTGTATATAGGATAACCGTGATAAAGGGAGAAGTAGAGAGGGGGGAAAAAAAAATCATCCAGTACTTTTTTACCCCACACTCTTCTCCCCGATCTTTGTCGGCTAATTAATTTACTCCCTTTACTAGGAAGCGAGTCGTGTGCCGAGGAATGGAAAATTTAAAAAGATATTAAAATTTTCTTCGTAAGTGCCGTTAAAGAAACAAGCGATAGATCGTGTAATTTTAACGGTGAAGATTTCAAAAATTTTCTCGAGTTCTCGTAATCCAGATACCCAAGTAATAGCTTATAAGAACTATCAGATATATTCCTTCCTTGGAATAACTTCTTCCAAGATCCTCTTAAATTAACAACGAAATCGACTGGATATTATTAATCAGCGAAAATAATTATCGTATGATTAAAATTTTATAATTTTTCTAAACTTCACTTAATACTTTTCAATATTAAACAAAAATACTCAATGTTAGTATTACATCGTCACGTCTGATCACGGACGGGTTCAAACTACTAACAGTCCAGATATAGCAATCTAGCAAGAAAAGAAAAGTAGTATAATTCGACATTGATCGGACTGTTGATCGCAGACCGTCTCTTTCAATTCTTCGAACTTCAAATTGTATATAAAAAAAAACTTATTTTTATTAATATCACGCCATTCGTTATCGATCATATAAAATCAACTTGGCAAAAATCTAAAAATCGATTTTACAAAATTTCCAATTTACTCTTACACCGTATGATAATAGTGGAAAAGATGGTGCGTTAGATGGATGTCACGTTACGCAAAGGATGGAAATCCCAGAACGCGATTTCGCAGAGGGAAGCGGTAAAGTGAAGAGTAAAGTGCTTCGATCGTGGCACGTAACTCGCGTCGCGACATTATCGTTGGGACGCATTATAGGCGCGCACACGCGCGTCGCTAAACTGTTTAATGCGAAACTCGCGAACGATCGTTTAAGCGGTCGGCGAGGGATTTTAGTACGCTGCACCGCGTTAATATCCAGCCCGGGACGTCTCGATTTTATCTACTCGATACAGAAAGGATGGATATCGGTCAATTCTCTATTCGGTCGGTCGAGAAAAATTACGAAAGGAAGATGGGACGAAGGAAGTTGCGAGAATATTGCGAGAATGCACGTTCGATGCACGTAAGGTATTAAATCTGTTTGATTTGTGTTCGACACGATAAAGGATAATAATCGAAGAAAAGTATATAAATTTTGTTTCCAATCATATTTTCGTACGATTAAATTGTTACTCTTAAATTTAGATTGAAAAAACTTGCAAAGAAGCCGAGACGATAACGTGACCTTCATATGACTTTGAACAAGTAATGGAAGGGAAAAATAATTTCTGTTCGCGCGACAATAAGAGATTATAAATTTTTTGCACGCAGTTGGTTAATACGAACTGAACATTATCGGATTATTGGAAATTTCCTAGAAATTAATTTGCGGTAATAAAACCGTACGTTTCCCCGGTCGCGACTTACAATAACTTACAATCTTATATAGTTGGAATAATATCGTTGGTAATTAATTTTTGATATTTTAATTTTCTCCTATCACGTTTTTTTATTCCCCAAAATCCTTTCCATTAGATCCTCGGATAAATTGTGTCATCGAATTCGCCGGTTTCTCATGCATATTCCAAGAGTTACATCTTTAACGGTCACTTGGCTGCACGTCGCGTCGGTTCGCGTGGAATAAATTATTTCTTCTTCCTCTATAAATTTCCCACCGTCGTCGCTCTAACAAAATGTTAATTAGCATAAATGAAGGGAAATGCCATGTGTACAATTACTACTTCGATCAAATGTGTACAAATGTTTTCCGTTGTGTCGTTGTGCAATCTCGCCGCAAGAAGAGTTTCGTATATGCATTGTGTGTTGTACATTTCTGTGCTGTGATTTAGTAGTTTAATTGCGTCGAAATATTGTATATTTCGATTCGCGTACGATCGATTCGATAATGGAAGAAAGAGAGCAACGAGTTGCATTCGAAAGTGATTGTAATTACAAGATAAATAGTTTTTTTAAAAAAAAGGGAAGAATTAGTAAAATTTTTATTTCAATTATTCGTTTCGAAATTGGATGGAACAAAAGTTTGCTTAAAAAGATAAATATGGAACAATTTTGATGAATCAAAATACGATTTTTGCGACATTTTTACAATCCATCAATTGGAAAATTCTTCTCATACTCTTAACCGAGTTAACCTCACCTCGATCTTCATGGAACTATTACTTTCCATCACGGGGAAAGTTTGTGCAAACATGTCCAACTTCTCGCACACATTTCTCCCCGTTAAAATTACATCCACCGTTTGTACATACTTTCCTTTAATCTTCAATAAAATAATGTAAATTGATAAAAGGGTTTTAACAAAGTTGCATAAATTTACATTTCAAATCCTTATTCTTCGATTACCTCGCATCAATCGTTATTACCATTATTCTTCTTATTTTCACGAAAATTTATTCAGAATTAAACAGAAACGTGGAAAAAAAGGAAAACTACTTTTTCCGCTAAACTTTATCCAACAAACAACATAAATTTTAAGCGCATTTACGAAAATGTGAAAATGAGGTTATGATATCTTTTGCGCGAGAAAGTTCTAATATCTCCTAAATTAATAAGAACAAATGGGATCGTAAAATGCATATAAATCGGTGCGTAATGAAACGTAAGATAATAACGAATTGAAGAATTTATCTCTCCCCCGTGTAAAAATTGAAATTTATTTCGTCGCGTAAATAAAAAAGACAGTTAAATAAATATTGCGGAAGCGTAAAAGAATGTACTTCCACAAGCAGCGCTCGTTTGACATCCCGCGCTATGACTCGGTGCAAGCGATTCGAACGGAAGTAGGTCATCCACTATCACGGGATTCAGGAGCTCGTCACTCGAAGAATTACTCTAAATTGCATTTAATTAAGTAATCCTATTTTCGTTTGATTCACACACGCGACCATATTTGCGAAATTCTTGAATGAAATCATCGTTTATTAAATATAACTACAAGCACTACCCTATGAGCCAATCTCATCGATGAAAGGAATCGGAATGAATCGAATTCCTGTAGAATGATCGAGTTATAAATTTCACAAAGGAATCGACGAGATAATTTACGGTAATACGAAGTGGACGGGATCAACACGTGCAAAAATATTGATTAAATATTGATTAAATGAATATTCCTTTAGATAAATCGTGAAAGGAAGCGTTGTTGTTCTTCGACCGACACCAGAGTCCTCTGGCGCGATTTTATTGAACTAATCCTAGTAATAAAAATTCCAGAGGTCGCTAAAGTGACTCGGTTAAAGTAATGCGACGAAAATAAATATAATTTCTATTTCCAACTATTATTAATTAATTAATTTGAGAAAAATAAAAAGATCTAAATTGTTCCAGCGTTAATAAGATATCGTGCGAGCGGCTAATAAAGAGCTCGGTTACGTATCATTTCTAATTTTACCCAGGTGGAAATAACAGGCCGCGCGTCCACGTACGGGCGAAGGTTAAGGTTTTAAAACGCGA